ACCTCGGAATATACTGTACACGTTCCTTCGCAAAAAAACAACGATGGAACCTCCATAACTTACTCATTCCAATTTTGAAACTTCAATTTCAAAAGCCGCTAAAGGAACGGTGTCTGAAGGAAAATACAGGTTGCTTCTATCTGCCACTGATTCTGATAGCAGCGGGAAAGATCACAATTTCTATTCAGCTGTACGGATAGAGTATAATTTTCGGACAACAAGGCTCCCAATTCCGTTGAGGAAAATGCCTTTGCATTACAAAATGAAGTTTCATAAAGTAAAAATATCCCTTGCAGTTGACACGATATTTCATACGTAAAACTTGATGTATGAAGGCTCCATAGCAAAGCGTGAATGAACCAGTGAAAACGAGAGTGTATTCGGTACGTTGCATCGTGGATGGGATTATGAAGAGCGATGAGGTAGAAGGAACGAAGAGAATTACTTCCCTATCCCAGTCACACGTCCAGACAGCGAGACAGGAGACGAGAAGGCGGGTGCCATGCACGTCCTGGCAGGAGACTCAGGGGAGGGGAAGGGGAGAGGGGGGGGAATGAGGAAGGAGTATGTGCGAGAGGATTGTGCGAGGGGGGACGTGAGCGGGGGGAAATCCGCAACTGGGAACAGCCAGTCGGGGCAGCGTGAATTTTTCTACCGATTCTGTTTAAAATATTGCTATCTCCTAATGACTGGAATGAATTTCACAAATTTGGTTTCAATCACATCCTTATACATATCCCTACATTTTATAGTAAGTTATATTGGAATTTTGAGGCTCAGAGAAGAGAAAGAGCACAAAATATAATTGACATGCCGGAAAATTTCAAACCTAGGTTCAGTAAAATCCCTAAGGATCTGAGTGGGATGAACAGATTCGTCTGAAAATGGACCTGAAGCTGCTCAAGAGGTTTCTCCACAATTCTGTCTGTTGAAATTTTTAAAGGGGAGAAAATGGCTCTTTGTTTCCGAAATGCCGGAAAATTTCAAACCTAGCTTCAGTAAAATCCCTAAGGATCTGAGTGGGGTGAACAGATTCGTCTGAAAATGGACCTGAAGCTGCTCAAGAGGGTTCTCCACAATTCTGTCTGTTGAAATTTTGAATTTCATTCTCGTTCTCGAGAAATGACCATGAATGTGAGGCACTATGCAAAAATAGGGAGATTTAGAGGTACATCTTCGAACCTCCAGGGAAAACGGTTCGTTGAATCATCGCGCCCTTTGACACGAAGACGAATGGGGACGGTCTCTAAAAACTATAGCATGCTTTTCACGATGCAATGTTTCTTCGGAGAAGCGAATTCGCGAAACGCAAATTTTCACAAATGGCGCCACGGCGTCTCGGGGAGCAGAGAGATGAGCACGTTTTTGGGCTCATCATTTGATATGTCCTGTGGCGAGGAGAATGGCTCAAATTTGACGTTTCTGCAGCCAAGGGTTGGGGATATACAGATTTTCGAAGAGAGACATGGAAATCGTGACCTTTGGCCGTTCGCCACGGTCAGGTACTTGACCTGAGAGTGCCAAAAAATGGCTCCAAGGCCCTCCCTTGGGGTCCTCTACAATAATTATAAGCCAGAATTTGATTCTAGGGGGGTCGATTTTCATCTTCCCTTAGTACCTTAACATTTTTATTTAACTCTTTGTTTCAGTAGTCACATTCATGCAAAGTTTCAGTTTTTCATGTTCATCAGTTTAACTGATGCAAAAAAATTAGTTGAAAACATTTCCCTTTGAAATTTGTGCCCCCAGGGCACTTACTTTTAAAGTCTGAAGTTTTCTGCAGCATCCCAACAGGTAGTTCTGCATCAAGTTTCATCTTTCCACACTAGCTCAATAAGCCAGGAAAAAAAAAAAAGACGTCAGTAAGTCAGTCACGATCGCCTATATATGTTAGATGTGGTTAGCATCGACTTCACGCGAACTACAAATTATCGGGACGATAGAAGAAGCAAAATCATACCTCGACTCTAGGGACGCTCGGGCGGGGTCAGGTCGAGTTCGCCGCCTGGGATCATCGCATGCGGAGGTTCCGGTTCGTCGCAGAGGAATGCAGATGCGAAGTGACTCACCCGATGAAAGCGGGATGGGTGTGGAAGGATGCCGTCGGCTGTTCCTTGGATTCATGATCATCATCACCACCGTGGTTTATGGGAAGTACGAAAACGCTGCTTTTTGGGAAATTCTTGTCTGCTGCCTTATTTTGCAGCATCCAGCACCATTACGTTTTTTTTAAAATGAGTTTCATTACTTTAAAAAAAAATTCCTCTTTTTTCAGCAATATACCAATAGGTACTCGGTACAAGATTGCATTCAATTGAAATTAAGCAAAATGTGAAGTTGGCTCCATAGGATCATATTACTTTTGCATCGCCCTGTAGTTTGCATTCTTTGCACGAATGAACCAGGCATCCAATTAACTTAACTGACAGCAAAGCATTAATACATCACGAAATGATGCATTAACGAAAGTCCTTCGCTTGGGATGATTATTTCCAGTGCTTCCTCACATCGACGTTCTTCTGCCAAAGTTAAAAAAGATTTGAATTGATGTGAGCAGGACTGATGAAGGGCCTTCTGCCAATGGAATCGCCATTTCATTGAGAAAGTGGGAAAGATGAGAGTGCTGTGGGTCTTCGCTTGTGCTGTGCTGAAGAAAGGAGGCTCCTCCTCGTCCTCCAGCTCTTCTGGTTAGGGATGATACGCCTTTCATCTACCTTCAACTCCACGAGCCGGACGATCGTCCCTCTCAAGGCCTACTTCCGTTCCTCCCAAACTCTTTTCTCTTTCTACTGGCACTTTTCTCATCTTGGTGAAGGGATGCACTCGCCGATGAAGTCGTCACGAATGACATCCGATCGCGTCCGTCGGAAGGGTTTACTCACTCGGTTTTTGGGGAATACAGGTTGGGGAGAAGTCCTTGTCTCACTCAAATGTGTTTTCTTCATTTCACCCTGCTTGCGACCGATTTCTCACTCCTCCAACTCCCTGCTTCTTAACTCCCCTTTGTATTCATGCGAATTCGCGAAAAAAGGAAAATGAAACGAAACGTTTCCTCCAAGGAAAGGAAAGAATGGGAGAGAGAGGCCTCAATGCAGAAAAGACCTACGATGTGGCTTTCCAGGCCATTCCCCACGATATTACACCTGTCCGATAAGGAAATAAAAAAAAAAAAACAAAGTACGGTTCCGCTTCTAGGTACCGCATCGCATCACGCAAAAAATGCCATTGCCCTCCAAAGGCATCTCTCGTTACAAGAAAGATTCAGCCGAGACGAACGAGAGCTCGTACAACGAGTCTCATCCGAAACGGCCAACATTGACGTAAGTACCTTCGCGAATTTAAGAACGACCCGCAATATGGAGAGAACTTCCCGATGCATTTAAATAGAAAATACCCATAGAATTTATCTCAAATTTTCTACTTAAGAACCCAACGCTGGCGTTCATCGTGATTGGGCGGCATGCGAAACGTTAGTCCTTTTACACCCTCAAGGTTCTTGAGGCGAAGAGTTCCCCCACCGAGAGCCTCTAGAAATTCCAACATTTCATTTATGATATCTCGAAGGTGGAAAGACCAAATCAAAAATGAGCATTCCCCAATAGCCCGTAACATTGAATCAACATTGATTAAATCAATCACTCATTGATCACCACCACGGATCACGATAGATTTTATTATATAGATGTCACCAAATTATTACTTCAACAATTTAGCGTATCATACTGAAATTTAGGCTTGCAGAGAATCCATATGAGTTCATATCAGTCACCCTGCATTCTGTTTCTTGAGCTGCAGCGTCACGATCCAGCGACTTAAAAGGGCATCCAGCGACTTAAAAGGGCATCCAGCGGCTTAAAAGGGCATCCAGCGACTTAAAAGGGCATCCAGCGACTTAAAAGGGCATCCGGCACGTTTGGAGAAAAAGAAAAGGAGGGGAAAGTGAATTTTTTTCCCTACCAGATGGGAAGCGACGATTGAGAGCTGGCGGAAATGAAGGAAAAGGTGGAAATATTTCTCCCTCGTTTTCTTCTGTCTGGGTCTGATTATATTTTCTACTGGATTATATTCGGATTATATATCCTCCTGGATTAAATTTCCCGTTTTCTCCTGGGGATTGGGAAAGACGATTCGATCTCGTCGGATCGTGACTCGAACCCCGTCGAGAAGTCTCTCGATGATATCTCGATGAAAAAAAAAAATCCGCCCTGGCCTGTCCCGATAAGGCTTTTAAAATTCTTATTATTATCCAGTCGATCGATTCTTTTACGTGCATGGCCTCTGCTTTATTATTTATATTTTTCGAACCGTTTCGACTTGAAACAGAAAGTGAGCCTATTTTGTGACGGTGTCGGATGGGACATTTTCTGAAAATGTGTTTTGAAGCGAGAAGTCTATACATATATATATATATATATAATTCAAATGTGAACAATTGACATCTACTCTTCACACCTGAGCTGATTTATATCATGAGAGTGGTGTTTATAATTTGTCATAATCATGACAAATTCTTTCATTTTTCCATGTAATATTTTCTTTCATTCATGTCTTCTGGGAAAAGAGATGTTGAGCTTCTGTAGCGAAAGTAATATTTGCATATTTAAGAAAATTTCTAAAATCCTAGGAGAATTTGGCGTGGACAGACCCAAATATTTAAAAGAACGAAACCGGAAGACCCATAAGCCATCCAGATTTTGAATGGTGATTGAAGAGAATGAGAATGCAATCGTTCCATTTCAAGCAAAATTTATATTTGACGATGATGGCGCAGCAATTGACGAGGGTGTCAATGCATTTCCGCGAATCCTTGGATTATGAAGGATCAATAATTTTCACGCACTTAGAAACTATCACTTTTCGCTTGCACCCATCAGGTGAGAAGCCTGATAAAAATTCCGGGAAACCGATGCTCTTGCCGACAGACTAGATTCTGGGAGAAAAACGAGGAGAGGCGAATGATGAAGTGGACAGTGCCAGATTGACAGAGACAAAAAATGACGTCAAACATCTTGAGAGTCAGTCGTCCGATCTGACAGCCCCATTTGCGTCAACTGATGAGATTCAGTCACGGCGTGCTCGGAGTTGAGATCGCCGTAACTCGAGACTCCCAGAAACTGATTATGCAGAGGTGGAGACCACCCAGTCGACCCGACATTTCTTCTATGATCCTGACACCTGGACGAATCCCGGAATCCTGACACGGTTCTGCGACAGATGTTCATCATGGCTCTGCGATAGCGGCCACTCAGGGCACAGTAGAACAGGAAATTTATGGCAGCATTCATGGCCATGAGGAGATTGAAGACGTTCCCGCAGATCCTGAGGATGTAATCGCCACGAGAGTTCGGTACGGGTTGGTCGAAGGAGGAGTAGATGAGGACCAAGGCGGTCGGACTCTGGCAGAGGAGAAACAGGACGGACACGGCGATGAGCATGACGGTGACACGGTTCTCGCGCAACTCTTGGCGGGTCGTGTGGGCCATGAGGAAAGTCCTCTGACGGAAGGTCCGGTGGACGTGGTAGATGAGGAGGATGTTGAGGACGAGGAGAAGGGTGAGAGGGACCAATATAAACACGGTCACCGTGAACCAATAGAATCCCTTCCTGTATCTGCAATAAACGAGAAGTCTTCGATTCAGCATTCAGCTACCGACAAGGAGTTCTTTAAACGTATCTGGAAATATACATTTAAAATCGCATGGGAATGAGAAAGCCGCGAAAACAAATAGAACGGAATATGTGTGAAACCACACATAGAAGCAAAGATCTGGAGACATGATTGTTGCTGGTGAAGACACGGATCCCCTTCAGTGAACTCACCCCGTCTCATTAGTTGTGCATAGATTCTTTGCACGGGAATCCCAACAGGCGACTGCCATTCCTAAAAAGCGATGCTGATGGAATGAATGCTTTTTTCCCCCGGTACCCCCAGTCCAGAACCCACAGTCTCCCACCATACGAGTATGCTACATTCACTCCTCGATGTAACCCCAAAGAAGTGCCACCTTGGGTGGTGTCCGCGCGGGGGTCCAATCGAAGAAAAGGTGCATGCCCAGAGACTGCGTGATGTGACAGACCGAAGAAACCGCATTGAGGAAGCAATCCCCAGCCTCAAGCAGGAAATGCTAGCGAACGCGTGGGCAGCACTCTCGCACCGCTGAAAATTCTGCTATCGACGAGACACGGTGAACATGTAGACTGACAAATATTTCTGATAAAAGACCTTAAAGCAAAAAAATGTACAGGTAATGAGTGTATGCATGGAAATAAATTACTTTGCAACTGAATTATGACAGATTATTTTTAAGCCATACCCTTATGGACACCCTGTTTACTGTAATAGCTCCAAAGGCTGAGAGTGTCGATCGACACCGGCATGAAAAAACGAAAAGGGTTTCGATGCAATTTGTGTCCGCTTTTCAAAGCTGATAACGCTAAATATACATAATGTGGATATCATATGTAAGTAAATATGAACAGAATAGAAAGCCTGACATTATTTATAACCACATACTCACAAATTTTGGAAAGGCAAACCGAAGGCGTACCGAAAGAAACGAGACCTCAACTACCGCGTCCGTCTGCGCACTCCTCAGCATTCGAGGAAATGTCCTCGTTAGAGAAAGTTCTCTCTGACGCATCAGTTTTCCTTAATTTTGTGGTGGTAAAAAAAAAAAAATTAAAAATGGAAGGTGAAAGGGGAATTAATTGGAAATTGAAGATCGAACTGGAAATTTTTATTTTCTTTCATCTGCTCGGAACTCCACGTCGAGAGTTACAGGTCGAAAACTTTGTCGTGAGATGACTGAGTTGCAGGTGTGCCGCGACCCATTTATTAGGGAAAGGTTCCACAGCAGACGAGAGATGGCGGATAAGTCGCTGTTCTATCAATTCACTCCCAGTGATTGCTGTGACTTTCACGGAAACTCTCTAATGACTTTTTTTTTAATATTTATTTATGCAAGGGGTTGTCTTCCCCCCCCCCCCCGTGTGTGATTGCCGATCTTCTCGTAACTGTAGGTATGAGGCATATACAATTTCGAAGCGACAGATTGGCGTGCAGTCCTGCGGTTGTTGAGGCCCCCGTTACATCATTACGCTATTATTTGGCGAGTGGCAAATATAGGGTGTCCCAGAAACCCCCCTCCGGTTGGTCGTGATTTCTCTGAGGAAACGCCGAGAGATCCTTTATTGGATTTGCATTCAAATGAATGCTAAGAAGCGCGTCAGAGAGCTTCATTGAGCTTCGTGTTTCTGGGGCAGAGGGTGTTCCGTATATATATTTTTTCAAAGCCCTTCAAAGCCCTTCTCTTCTCGATTCTTCCAAGGAAAAAAATTCCATTGATTTTTATGGTGCATTACACCGTCGAAGAAATTGAAAAGAGGGCCCGCCGGGGCAATAACTTATGAAAATGATAGAGTGCTCGTCGTCTCCAATGCTCCTAGGCGATCGCCTTTTCAGGGGAAAGTCTGTTCGCCTAGCGGAGTTCGCGGCAATTCCTAATTATTCCACCTTGAAAATGCATTAAGATTCCGTGATGCATTAAGATGCCCTGATGCATGATCGATGCATGAGGCACCGTTTCCCCGAGAATTAAGACGATCCTGATAGTCTCGCGAGAGGGGCTTCAAAAACACTGGAGGCAATCCGGACCGGCATCGAAGGTTGATATTTCTCGGACGAATCAGTATTTACCTCGAGTCGCACTGTCGACCGACACAACAGCCGAGGGGAATCCTCGAGCCGGGGAAGAAAAACATATCGGAGTCCTTCCGCGACGGTCCGGACCGCGACAGACCGGCGACCCCGCAGGTCCTCCATCTAGCTTGAGCCTTGGGCCTTGGGCCTTGGGCGTATCCTTCAGGTGCCCCAAAGGTTCACTCATCCTCGCAACGTGCATGGTCTCATTGCCAGGATGAAACGCAGCCTCGCGAGCGTACCTCTCGCCGTGGTCGGAAATTCCATCGATGGTTTTTCAAATGTCGGTTTCGCAGCGGTGCCGAGGGCCAACAGTTTGAGTGGGTGCCGAAGTGGTGTAATGGTGAGATCTGTCGCTTCGAAATTGTATATGCCTCATACCTACAGTTACGAGAAGATCGGCAATCAAACACGGGGAGGGGGTTTCTGGGACACCCTATATTTGCCACTCGCCAAATAATAGCGTAATGATGTAACGGGGGCCTCAACAACCGCAGGACTGCACGCCAGCAAGTGCACAACACCCGTCTAAGGTCTGAACGTCAGTCAATAGCGATACGGTAACACATTAGAACTGAATTGCAAGGGGGCATAATCGCCATTAGGCGGGGGAATCCACCTGAATTCACAAAATACTTCCGGTTTGTCCTGAAATATTCAATATATATGCCATAGCAGAAAGCAATGAAATAAAGAAATATTGAGCAGTGAGATTTGGAGAGATCGCTCCGATGAATCATCCTGATACACGCATGAGCAGATACAGTGGACTGATACATGCACTGATCAATTTGCCAACAAGCCAACATTGCCAACAAGTTGGCGCAATGAAGCTCGGAGACCTCATTCCGCTTTACCCAGACATCGTCGGCATCTAATTGCCTAATCGAATAAGAAACCTTGGAGCGCGATATCGGGCTTATGAGCCCTGCTTATGCCAAGTTTCAACTTGATCTGAAACCAAATCTGTCGGGTGAAAACCGGATAAGCGATGTGAAGCTTCAATAGTCGACAACGCGGACGGGAAATTCCAGATACTGAGGAGTTCTAAGGCGTAGAATATCTGCTTTCAAAGCGGTTCTCAAATTTTCCCGGAACGAAGCCCACGCGTGAAAAGGATTTGCATCGGCGTGGGACGATGCAAATGGGGGGAGGGAAACGAGGCAGCCAATGAGGCGGGGGAGAGGAGAAAAGCTTTCCTAATCCGTCTAAATCCATTCGTCTCCCTCAACGTCTATCGCTTTTTATCGGCTTTTCAGTTTGAATTTCGTTCCATGCACTTTCCATCGATCTCTGGAGAAAGACACAAGAAAGACACAAGAAAGACACAAGAAAGACACAAGAAAGACACAAGAAAGACACAAGAAAGACACAAGAAAGACACAAGAAAGGCACAAGAAAGGCACAAGAAAGACACAAGAAAGACACAAGAAAGACACAAGAAAGACACAAGAAAGACACAAGAAAGACACAAGAAAGACACAAGAAAGACACAAGAAAGACACAAGAAAGACACAAGAAAGACACAAGAAAGACACTTTTGAATGTAACACCGAATTGAAACATAGGTGCGCTATTTAACCGAGTTTCGCAGGAACACCTCATAAGGCACCGAAGAGGCGATGGAAATGGTTTGAAAATTCGATTTTCTTTGTGATCTTCCTCAGCGTTCCATTCCCTCTTCGATGCTCCGACACAAAAGCGAGAGGACTTCCCTCGCTGAATCCTTTCATCGCGGTGAAAGGCAAGCGAGGCTCGCCGTTTCGATAGCGGATGGGGACAGATCCCTTTGAAAAAGCGAGAGCTGATCTGGCGAGAAATGTCATCATTCGTCCTCGGATGAGATTTCGTATTGTGGAGCCACCGTGGACCACAGGATGAACACCCTCGCTTGAATGATTTCCTTATGGATCGTCCCATTGTTGGCGAAAAAGGGACAGAAAAGTTGGGAAAGTCTCGATCACAAAGGATATCGGCACCTGCCGCCGAGGAGAAATACTATGGAGACATTGAAAGAGTCCGCGTTTGCCTCGTGGTCTACCTGGACCCGGTGGGTTCCAGGCGCGTCTCGCTCCTCCAGACTAGATGAGTTGAGACTCTCCCAGTCTGGGCTCTCCCAGACTCTCGACTCAGGGAAGGGGAATGGTGTGGCATTACACTTATTACCGGGGTCTATATATATCATTCCCTTCGTGTATGCGGGGTCCTGTCAGCCTTGCAGATTAATTCAAATATATCGATCCCTGATTGATATTGATCAATAGATCCCTGAGAATCATCTTGAAAATACAGGTTGTCTCGTAAGTCAGTCGGGTACTTGATCATATGTATTAATGTAGTTTGAGAATGACGTAAGATATTTTGGTTCTGTGAAATGCATGTTAATCTGCTATCTAGTAAGCTTCACTGACAACAATTTTTTTATTACTCAGAATAGGACCGAAGATAAATCTTTGAGACTGTCAGCGTTGCGGAACTTTTGAGATTGTCACGAGTTATTTTTTCACTAATGGTCTCATCTGGGTGCATACGCAAGAATTCGAGTCTGGCTGGTGTTGCAGATTCCAACTTTCTCATCCGTAAAGCCATAATTTAGTCGTTGTTCTGACGTCAGCATTCTTTATATCTACCTGGAGCATACCTGAGAAACAAAAGTCTTTGCCGGTAAAATTCATTAGATAACATATTAATTTTCATTTTTTCAATTTCATTAAATTTTCATTTCCAACATTTATATCAAATCCCCAAGCGATTTATGAGACACCCTGTTCAGTACCTGATCGATGAAACGTACCCAGGATTAGCGCCGAGGCTGCTGAGAACGAGGGAGATCTGGGATTCGTCTCGATCATCACGAACCAGATGGGACTCCTGCACCCTCCACTCGAAGGGAGTCGAGAGGATGCTGAGGAAGCAGAGGATGTAGACGAGGGCGATGACCCGCTTCGCCCGGGACTCGGTGAACCACACCTTGCCCTTCAGCGGGTTCTTCATGGCCAGGTATCGCTCCACCGTGAAGGACACCGTCAGCCACACGGATGTGTTGCCTTCGTTCAAAAGGAAGACATGTTTTGCATGAAAGTGTATGGGGAGGAGAGGGGGAGAGGGGGAGGGGGAGGGAGGGCGGGCAATAGGGATGCTTAGAGTTTTCAGCTGCTGAAATGCATTACAGTCGACGTACGAGAAATTATTTCCCGAGCGAATCGAAGTCGTTCGGGAACGGAAATTTTCCACCGGCGAAAGATGCCTCTGTAAAAGACGCCATTACGTCGCGTTCCCCCACACTGAAGGATGGGGCAATCTCGTTCCATTTTATTCAATGACTTCGGTCGGCAGTGAGCGAGGTGGGGCAGCCGTTTGGAAGAAAAAAAAAAAGTACGGACTAAAAAAGAAACAAGAGTGCTTAAGAAAGAACCAAGTGGATGAAGGAGAATATGAATACATTTGGCATAAAGACCTTTGACTCTCGTTCTCGGAAAATGACGGTTGATTAAAAGATCCTTTGTCTAATGAAATCTCTGAAAAACATCCGAAGGAATGCGCTGGGGAAAGGCTTCCCAGATGAACAGATGCAGCATCCAGAGTCGCTCCCGCTCGGGAAGAAGCGACTTAAAGTCGGCGCGACTCGGAAGAGCGTCCGTCGGGAGGCACGGCCTCCGACATGGGAGGTCGCCGCGCCTCCGACATGGGAGGTCGCCGCGCCTCCGACATGGGAGGTCGCCGCGCCTCCGACATGGGAGGTCGCCGCGCCTCCTCGAGTTCAGCGGACATCCCTCGCGAATCCCGTCGACAAAATCGCGCGCGCGACGAGCGAATGGCTTTTAACCATTCGCTTCCGACGAACACGGCCATCATCGTGAGGACGACTGAGGCGTTATGACGTCACTTCTCTGATTCACGAATGATGGAATCTCATTATGTCTAATGATATTCCTCTTAAGTCTTTCGATTTCACTCAAGAGCTTTGAGTCTGTCATCTCCAAGCTCCAAGGAGATTTATTACGCTCCGACGGTGTTTGCAGGCATTAGGTGCCAAACTGAGTGAACAAAATCATTCCTTCCCCCCGCCCCGCCCCGCCCCGCCCCGCCCCCATGCATCAGGCACACCTTCAGTGGCTGCAGATTCGGGCGCGATAAAAGAGATGATCACCCAAGAATCTTGCCGGCCAGGCACTTTCAGAGCTGGAAAAGCTGGAATAGATGATGATAAGTGATGAATGAAACCGCAAGAGTTTAAATCCCACGCGGGAAGCGAAGACCAACGACGGCAATCGAGGAATTAGCACTCGCTATAACGCTCATTCTGAGCTCATTCCGCGCGCCTGAAAGTCCTGCCGCCCGACAGGATGTCGGCCGAACCGAGGCTTCCAAAGCTGGCCAAACGTGCGGATCGACGTTGGGCCGACTTTGGAGCAACGTTCGTTCCCGACCTGGGCGAGCTGCCGGGGGACTTCTCAGAGCCGAGAAAAATCCTCGCACGAGCTGTATTTCCGTTCGATTCCCGGAAACTCTGATCCTTCTTTTGGCCGACGCTCAGAGCGTTTCTCGGCGGAGAGGATTCCAGCCTCCCTCCCTCCGACCTTTGGCCCTCGGGGAATCCGCGGAACTTCGCAACCGACCGAGTGCAATTTCGTGTCGATCGAGGAACTTAGCCGCTTATTTGGCAAATTGGCAGCAATTTCCCCACGATGATGCTCCGTCATGACGGACCGACGAGTTCTCCTTGCAACGTAGCAGTTTCAATCAAATCACCCTTAAATCATGGCATTAGCTGCTCGTGCCATGGCATAGCTCGCAGAAAAGCATGGGAGTCGAGAAATGGCATCGCATGGTCGCACAACGATGCAAAAAGCCTGAGCATTTTCCATAATCAGCAAAACACCCAATATCGATCGAAAGAGAATTTCGCATCTCGTACTTCGTGCAAATCCCCGTTAGACCCTTCCATCAGCCCCGATCAACTAAATGGGCTCCCGTCCGGAGCCCCCCCGGAGCCCCCCCGGAGCCCGTTCGGGCTCGGAGCCCATCATCCGGATCGGTGCCAATCCGTGAAGTGGCACGAGACCTTCATCTCTTTCGCAAGCATTTCCATCGAAGCGTCCCTTCACACGATTAATGTATCCGCGCACACTAGCAATCAATTGCCTCATGAGATCAATTCACTCACACGAGCCAGCCCATCGATCGCATTCAGTCTTTGGCAAAGAATTACCTTTGAATTTCTGCACATGTTTGCTTAATTCTTTTCCCATGCTAAATTTCCAATTATTTGGCGACCTTTCTCGTTTTGCCCTTTCTCATGGAGGCCGAAGAGGAAGTAACGCGTCGATATGATGGATCTAAATATTTTCTCACGTTAGATTTCGTCGGAGAAGAAAGGCAATCAGGTGTGATATTATTAATCGTGTGGAGAACAAATACTTGTTGGGGACCTTTTAGCTAGAGACAAGGATGTACCTACTTCGAGCATTTTCTTCAAGATGTGCCAAGGAACTACAGGTACTTCATGTTCCTGTGGACGTCGAGACACACGATGTACAGGGTGCGCACAAAGTCCGTATACCCCTATATATACGTATCACAAAAGGTGGAACGTACCTCTTAGGAATCCAAAACATCCATATGTGTTGCTCCGTGGTCTCTGCATAGCCGAATGCGCCGCCAAGTTCTGTTGTTCATGTTCAGAACACGTGCCAAGGTCGTGCGAAGGTCACCAGCACGAACGTGGCATGATTACTCGCGTCAGCTTGACGTACATATAGAGGGTATAGGGGGTATACGGACTTTGTGCGCACCCTGTAGTTTGAGTTTTTGGTCACCGTGTATGATTTCTTTGTCGAATGAAACTAACTCGTCGGAGGTATTCTTTCTGTCGCCTCTGATTTAAAGTCGCCCTTGTTGTGTGATGCAGGGAGTTTATTGTTGAATAGTTCTCTACATCGTGCATTCTCCATGAGAGGTGATTATTTTTGCCTGGATTCATGTGCGAATCAGAAGAAGAACGGGTTGGTGTATGGATTGATGCCCCTGTAAACCGACCGATACCATCGCAGGTCCGGGTACCCTCCGAATCCTCCGTAGTAGAGGCCGGGATAACCTCCGTAGAAGCCGGGATAACCTCCGTACCCTCCATAACCTCCGTATCCTCCATAACCTCCGTACCCCAATCCCCATCCATAGGGACTGTAGTGCCTCTTCTCGGCTTTCTGGCTGGCCGATGCGGAAGCGAGGATGAAGAGCAGGAGCAGGGCTGTCGTTCTAGCCACCTGCACATCGGATTTCCAACATTACTTTTATTGCATTAACTTTAATTGCACTACTTTAATTACTTTAAGTCGACTTTACATGAGTATATTCTCATGACAAATGTTGAATACATGGATGTTGGATCGAGCGGCATTAAATTGAATTGAATTCCCCCGAGTCTCCTGATGGGGCAATGATTAATTGATAATAATTAATTGATATTGATTAATGAATAATTCTTTGAAGCTGGAGTTCCTCTTTCTCGGTTCACAACGTGGTTCACAACGTGGTTTGACGGGTAAAGTGATGGAGTGAGAGAAAATGCTAAAGAAGACCTCAGACGTCAGAATTCAGAGAATAAAAAAAAAAATCAGAAAATTTCAGAGTGTTCAATGAAACTTTGTGTCGGAAGCGACGGGATGTCAGATGTGGGAAGATGATCGATTCCGATCAGAGCGAGAAACTAGCCGGTGATGCGAGACATCGGGACTTCCTTGTTTTGATATGGAGATATTAGTCTTGCCACCTGGTGTCTCCTGCATGTCTGTCTCGTTTTAAATCATTGGAATATCTAGAGTATAATAGTATTCGGACTTGATTTCAGATTTCTTCGCCGGATTGTTAAGGACAAAGACTTTGTTAAGCAAGAACGGAAGAAATCGCGAAAATCCAGAAGGGAAATGCATCTGATAACGGCAACGGGTAAGGCAACATTTATGGTTTATTTACGGTTGCTCATAACGGTTTCCAATTTACGAGCCGAATTCTCATCCGCTGCTTGCAATAGTCGACAATTACAATCGAGGGGTGAAAATGTAATTATTATATCAAAGCCTTGCGTAAGACCTACATTTCCTTTTTTTGGTCATATTGGCCTTGTGTTATTGGTGTAGCATGCAAAACAGTAAATGGAATCGTCATTCCATATCTTCGCCGCCCCATTGAAAAAGTACACGGACAATTAATTAATTCCACATCGGCGTGAAGTTTGAACTCTTCATGAAGCAAAGGCGACGTCAGTTTTGACCTCATCGTCTTCCATACCTTACGCTCCCCGTAAGGTATGGAAGACGATGAGGTCAAAAATTGCGCGGGAATAATACCTGGAGAAGGAAACCCATTGCGGGAGAGAGCGGGAGGTTCGTCCCCTTCTCGCACTGAAAGCGGTCGACTGTCACACCACGGGCGCTCGGAGCCCCGCTTTCCCTTTTTTATACGGGATGAGGCCCATCATCATCCTCATTATTCCCTGCGCTTCGTCATGCTCGGCAGACTTTCTGGAAGTCTCCTTCTGGTGAACGGTTGTATCGGCCTTGGCGAATGATGAAATTCTCAATGTCACATACGCCCGCTTTAACCAATATAACGAGTTGCCGACACAACCGTCACGGATGTTTCGTTGATTATTCCTGGCATTTTTAGAACGGGAAAAAAAAACCTGGAATGTATCGTTACAGATTCCTAGTGTTTGTAGTTTTCCAAAATACGAGTTTTTTTAATTTTCAATGGAGTTCGGTAACGGTCTAAATTCAGTCAGCCATGACTTCTAGAGTTCATTTTGATCAGATCTAGTTTATTCAAATCCAGTCACCAGATGAAAAAAAATCCTGCTGTGCGAGCAGAGCAATGGCGTATTCATTGTCACTTTTTAGGCACTTGCCATCCCTCGATTCTCCACTTTTTATTCCAAAATCGAAACATTTTGATGAAGTGCATTTCTTGCCTTCATCCGGGGAAAAATGTCTTCTTAGTGGAGGGAACCTAAATTTTCAGGATTGATTGAGCATATAGTGGTTAAAACGACCCAGAGTTCTCACTGGGAATGAGTGACGGTCAATTTCATAATTCGTTGCAACATTCGAAATTTCTGCAATCTCTCCAAAACGTCTCCTAAAAAAAAAATATTGAACGCTAGCAATTTCTAGTAGGGCTTAGGACTGAATACCCTAGTGAGAAAGGTTTGCATTTCTTGGAAGCAAGCAGGAGATACACGTCATGGAAATATTTGCAATAAAAGTAAATTCTAACGTTGAGCGCGATGGAAATTACCTTTAAAAAAAATTGCATGATATTCATATTTCCAACCAGGGACAGTTTCTGCCATCGAGGCCAGTTCCTTCAAATTTTCCTTCGAGGGACAAGGGCAAGTCTCTGCTACTCCAATGCATGCGATGTCAGGTGATGTGTTTTCCCCGGAGAGAGTGAGAGAAGGCGGGGAAGGAGCGATTGCCTTTAGAGCGAACGGGGAAAGCAACTTACGAAGGGGGACTCTGGATTGGGATTCGCTCGCTGCGAAGGCGATTCGCCTCAAATCGGGAACTACCTCATAATAAATAATGTTATATTTAATATTTATTCATTTAATGTTTCGCCCACGCCGACGAAAATTCGGATTCGCTTCGACGGAACGAGAATTTCACGGCTCTCTCTTGCCCAGGAAACTTTTTCGCGCGATAAATTGGAGTGGGGCGAGAAATGTGTAAATCAGCATATTTTGAGAACTTGATTTTTTTTAAAAATAATTTAACAAAAACGTTTAAAATATGTTACTTGTCGACATTTTCCCATCCCATTTGAGATTTGATTATCATCCAGAAATGCGCAAGAGCATGCTAAGGTCTAAAATTTACCATTTTGGTTGAAGAATCGACCAATTGAAAACGCTTATTTTTTCAGGGGTTGTGCATATTTAAAACAATTGACAGCTTCAAAGCGGTAAAACCGATTTTAGACACCACATCCAAACGATAGCTTGCTAAATAACCGCTGATAACTTGAATGCAAAAAAAAATTCCCAATTCGATCAGCAATTCAGAATTTGCATTTTCTTTCGGTGCCCGTGCACGACAGCTCGCTTGGAAGAATGGTAATATTTGAGCTCCTCCAATGATATACACTTGTTTATGTCGAATTCCCGAATGAGCATTGCACGTAAAGATCACAATGCAGACATGATATGTCATGAGTTTAATTAATTCTGATGAAACAAAATTGTCGGAGGCATCCTCTCCGTTTTCTTCTGCGATTTGAAGTCGCCTTTGTTGTGTAATGCAGGGAGTTTATTCTGGAATGTTGCTTATCATGTATTCTTTGCGTGAGGAAATGCTTGGAAGGGTTTACGTGCGAATCAGAAGAAGAACGGGTTGGTGTATCGATTGAGGGCCCTGTAAACCGACCGGTCGATGTACCATCGCAGGTCCGGGTACCCTCCGAATCCTCCGTAGTAGAGGCCGGGATACCCTCGGTAGAGGCCGGGATAACCTCCGTACCCTCCATAACCTCCGTACCCTCCATAACCTCCGTACCCTCCATAACCTCCGTACCCTCCATAACCTCCGTACCCCAGTCCCCATTTATAGGGGTTGTAGTGCCTCTTCTCGATTTTCTGGCTGGCCGACGCGGAAGCGAGGATGAAGAGCAGGAGCAGGGCTGTCGCTCTCGCAACCTGTGCACCGGATTTCCAACACATCAACGGGCAACCCCCTTATCCAGAAGTAAACACTAATATACCTATATATATATATGTAAATGTATACATGTTGCCTCCGTGATAATCACAGCTGTAGAATTGATGAATAAATCTACTGCTTTTATGGGAGAGTGGNAAAGGCGAAAGGTCACATCGAAAAATGAACTTGTCTGGCGAACTCAGGCTGTTGAATGACTCCTACTCACAAAGAAGCATATTATTTGGATGAAATATGACCCTGGTGACCCTAGGCGGCCCAGTGACCCAAAACACCCTGCACACATAACTTACCCTGTACACACGGGCTAATTAGCAATTTTTTTGTTTCATTTTATGTAGCATCGAGTGTGGAAATCCTCCACGACCTGGAATGTAAAATTGCAAGGCTTGGAGTGCACGGCTTGGCCGGGAAAATGACCCTGAATTGTTGACCTTTGACCTCTAATATCTCAAAGGTGAAAGGTCATGAAGAAAAATGGACCTGACTGGCGAACTCAGGCTGCTGAATGATTCCTACACACAAAAAATCGTATTATTTGAACGAAAAATGACCGTGGTGACCCAAGGTGGCCCAGCGACCCACCGGTGGCAGGGCCACCAAACTCCGTCGTCCTGATGCCCCACCCCTAGGAAGCCTAAGTTTAAAGTTTCAGGGTCAGGGATCAAACCGTCTAGGAGGAGAAGCGACTACGCACAGACACTTACGCTCATTTGTAAGGTAGATGTTATATTTAATATTTATTCATTTAATGTTTCGCCCACGCCGACGAAAATTCGGATTCGCTTCGACGGAACGAGAATTTCACGGCTCTCTCTTCCCCAGGAAACTTTTTCGCGCGATAAATTGGAGTGGGGCGAAAAATGTGTAAATCAGCATATTTTGAGAACTTGATTTTTTTTTTAATAATTTAACAAAAACGTTTAAAATATGTTACTTGTCGACATTTTCCCATCCCATTTGAGATTTGATTATCATCCAGAAATGCGCAAGAGCATGCTAAGGTCTAAAATTTACCATTTTGGTTCAACAATCGACCTATTGAAAACGCATATTTTTTCAGGGGTTGTGCATATTTAAAACAATTGACAGCTTCAAAGCGGTAAAACCGATTTTAGACACCACATCCAAACGATAGCTTGCTAAATAACCGCTGATAACTTTAATGCAAAAAAAAATTCCCAGTTCGATCAGCAATTCAGAATTTGCATTTTTTTTCGGTGCCCGTGCACGACAGCTCGCTTGGAAGAATGGAAATATTTGAGCTCCTCCAATGATATACACTTGTTTATGCCGAATTCCCAAATGAGCATTGCACGTAAAGATCACAATGCAGACGTGATATGTCACGAGTTTAATTAATTCTGATGAAACAAAATTGTCGGAGGCATCCTCTCCGTTTTCTTCTGCGATTTGAAGTCGCCTTTGTTGTGTAATGCAGGGAGTTTATTCTGGAATGTTGCTTATCATGTATTCTTTGCGTGAGGAAATGCTTGGAAGGGTTTACGTGCGAATCAGAAGAAGAACGGGTTGGTGTATCGATTGAGGGCCCT